GAAGAAATAAACTAAAAATTGCTATTAAGAGATTTGTCTTTTTTTTTAGTCCTCTCTCTCATCTCTCTGCGACTCCCTTGAAGAATTCAGATCGGATCGGTGCGGTGGCTCCGTTAGCACCGTTGCCGGTCCCCATGTTTTCTATTTTCTCCTTCTTTTTCGTTCTAGCTTCAAGGTTTGGTCATGGAGAGAGATTTTTCTCTTGTGGATCGAGATTTGGTTCGGTGGGTGTGGTCATGGTGATGGTTCGGATTGGTCAAAGCGTTTGGTGGTGGCTTGTGGTGAAGGTGTTGGTATATCTATAGATTGGGATGATGCAAGCCTTCTACTCACAAGAACCTTTGTGCTTTCCGATCGATCTATTCGTTTTCGTGAATGGTTTGCCGGATTTCGAAATCTTAGCCCTTGAGGGTTCTCTCTCTTGTATGTGGGTCAAGTGTGTGTATCGTGAAAGCTAGTCTTGTGTAGTTTCTTTGTCGGTTTCAGAGGCTTTGTTGGTCTCGTATTTGGTATTCTCATTTTTGTCTTCGTTATGTTTCGTTTTCGTCTGGATAGGATCTGGTTTGAGTTTGTTTCTAGTTCTATTTGTCATTCCATGCAGATCTCTTTCGGTTGTAGCCAGCCTTGGTGCTAGTTGGTCTCGTTCTGTTGCTGTTATTGGTCCGTTGCTCTCAGCTACAACCAACTAGTTTATGTTTCGCTCCTTGTCGCTACTCATCAGATCAGTTCGGGATCTGGTCTTACATTTGGGTTCTAATCGAGGCATTTTAACGGTCATGTTTGACTTCGCCGTCTCTGGAAGCTCATTCGTGGTACTTGTGTGTGCTGTTGTCTTGCCGGAGTTAGAATCCTAGGTCTTTAAGCTCGAATAGGTAGGCAATTTTCATTATAGGAGGAATTTGTGGTTCGTTGGTTTGATCTTAGTTATGGTTCTCTCGGTTAATGATTGTTTGTAGGTTTTGGTATTTAGCTAGTTTCAGGTTAAAACTAGATTGATATACCTCGTATTCTACCCGTATTCTATATCGTTTAAACTCTGTATTTTACTATGTATCTTATCTTGTATTCTATCCGGTATTTGACCATGTATTTTAAATAAAATTTTCAGATGCC